ATATATATTCTAGCTCCACCCCGGAAATGGAGGCAACTATACCTCCATCTTATTTTGGATCCATGGTCCGATCATGTTGGCCTGGTTGGCAAACTGGCGTCTGAGATGATCATTGGACTGCTGACGGGTGAGTTCCTCCTGTAGTGCCTGATCACGCTGTGGAACCAGTTGCTGCACCTGCATAGACAGGAGAGATTACATCAACACTGCTGATCCTTAAAAACTACACCCACAGACCTGGAGGAAAACCATTTTCCATTCTCAAATACAATCAGCAAGTACAAACTTCAGCACTTGTATAAGTGACAGGCGCATAGGAGAAAAATCACCATGTAAAATGTGCGAAAAGTAATCTTGCACACGCTTCTGCACTAGCTCAGAAATATATTATGTGTAACGCTCTGCTGTCCTGACACAGACATACAAAGATTGTAACAATAATATCATGCCTCCAATACAAAACACTCTATAAACTTATCACAGACATAAAACAAAATATATCAATCATAAAATTATGCTTTTGTATTAGGGGCCGGGACAGGTCAAGCCATCGATTCAGCATGTAGAATAGTCATCTGCGGAATATAGCACTCCGATTGGTTATTCAGCAACGAATCAGAGCACGATTGTGACAGTGAAGTGACACAAGTAAACAATTCAAGTCAAGAAGGATCACAGAAAAGCCGGCTGTAATTTTTCTGCATTTTTCAACTATTTGCAACCAATGTGAGTTATTTGATTATCAGACATATTTGCAGGAGAGAATCCCTCTGTGGCGAATGACAATTACTGTGAAAATAGTACAACACGCTGCTTTGCACACACACAGAAGTTCTGGTCTCCCGTACTAGGGTGTGTTTCCGAAAACCATCGTTAGCCAACTAAGGTTGCAAGTTGCGTTGTTACAAACATAGTTTGTTGATTTGGTGCCCTATCATACACCCGGCGCAATGTGGCGCAAGACGTGGCGCAATAGTCTTTTGCTAGTTTCAGCTTGGCGCAAGAGTCGTTTTGAGGCGTTGCGCTACGCTGTTTAAATAGCAAATGCATTATCGCTCATTTGTGCGCCCATTGGCGTTCTGGTCTAAAAATAAAGGGGATCTGATGCGGACCGCTGGTGCGTCGCTATTTTGAGAAACTAAAATAGATTTTTCATTAGACCGAAACAAACACGGTCTAAACTCCGGCGCAGAGTTGCACCTCGCTTACACACTGCTTAATACACACAAGAGAGCAATAGGCAAATATCTTTACATGTGAAAAAATTTAAATATTAAGGATATATATATGATATAATAAGAATAGATATAGGACATAAATATAAAGGATTAAAATATTTCAAAACATATTATTTTCTAGCCTACATAAATATGAAAAATCACTGCTTTTATGTCTTCTTCATCTCAGGAGGCTTTTTCAGTTCATTCATAACAATTTGCTTTTGTATAATGTTATTATTATTAGCAGTATTATTTATTATATCTATATTTATATTTGTTTTATTAAAAACAAGCTTAGATTTGCCCACCTGTCAGGTTTTAGACCATATGGGGCACAGCATGTGTTTTAGGATATAACTCAGGTTTTTGAACACACTTCGTTATTATTGTTCATTTATTCGTTTGCTGGAAATTAGAACTGAATTTAGAAATAGTTTTAAAACGAATATTTGCGCTTAACAAACGCAATTAATTATTTATAGACTAATTGATGTCTGTGCGTAAAGGTTTCCCTATCCAAGAGCAAATGTGAAAGTAGATCCATTATCTCTCATTCTTGAGTGGTAGATGCTCTGTTTAACTGTTTTCTGTTAAAAAAACTGTTAACTGTTTAACTCATCTGTTAACTGTTTGCTTGTGAAATGCTCAGTTTTTCCACTTAGACTTTGCATCCTGTAAATAGCGAATGCGCTCTTGGCGTGACGCAGCTGGCTCTTAAAGGGAATGGGAGATGAGACTCTGATTGGTTTATTCTCAAAACACTCCTATAACTCATTAAGAAAATAAACTCAACTCTTTTAGATCATGCGCCACGGCGCAAAGCGCAAAGCAGCTCAATTGAATATACTGGGGTAAAATAAATGCTCATATTATAAAAACATGGCGGGGGAAATGTAATTTAATGCAGTGCTTCTTGTACAATCTGAGACCCACTTTAAATCGAATATCACTCAGCCAGTGAAGATCGTTGATTTTTAAAGGATACAGACCTTAAACGCACCGGATTTTGCATTGCCATTCAATTCGCCGGAAGCGCTTAACCCAGGTTACTGGCAATTTAAAAGTCCTATTAGCATGCTTCGGCATAAACCCCATCACGCACTGCACAAAAAAAATCCTAGACAATTAACAACACTGATAAGTCATATACGATGTGTGATGAAGGTCAGGAGAGCAAAACATTGCACGTAATATATTGAGCAGTTATTGATGGTGTGCAGGATTACTTGTTTGCCATTCTCAGGCCCCTTTTACACTGTCAGGTCTTGATGCCAAATTCTGATTTGTGGCCTATTTCAATTTTTTTTTGCCTGTTCGTTTACATGTTCTTTTAATTGTGATCCATTTATGATTAATGTGTATACACTTGATAAATACTTGACAACATCGCGTTGCATGCATAAAGGTCGGTTCTAGCATCTGTGCCACAATAGCCACGATGGAAGAAATAAGAAATTGTCTAGATTTTAATGCGGCGAAATATGCGAAGTTCGCCCATATTCAAAATGATTTTTAGGCGTAGAAGGAGGGAAAGGGCCATCATCGCAGCTTGCGCCTATGGTTTATATGGTGTCCTCCACCATTCAGAGGAATGTGTGGGTACGAGAGAGATCTCAGGTCTGGTGGGAGCAAACTGTGTTGACTGACCACTTTCCTCCTCCATGTTTCCTCTGTTGTTGTTGTTGTTGTTGTTTACCGCATCAGCGTCTCCACACACGCTCTACCTTCTACATCATTAAACCGTGAAGAAGTACCACAATGTTGCAAGTTTAATGATGTACACAATCAATAAATCTGATCTGCCTGTTTACATGATAGTCACATTGTCACTTATCCGATTTATTTCCACTTATGAAGGAGGCCTGAAACCCATCTCTGAATATCCGAAAGCATGCTATTGTTTTTCGTGTTAACACAATCATAGAACAGATCCGATCTGTGTCACATACGAGCAAAAAATAATCAGAATTGGGTCGCATTTAAACGGGGCCGTATATAAACAGATCTTACCTTCTCCCACTTCTTGTCAATGCTCTGCGGGGTGATGGTGGTGTAAGGATTGTTTCCAGCCAGTTTGATGCCGTTGTAATTTGCAATTTTCTGAACTTCAGCCTGGATGGCTTGGATAGCTTCCCGCTCTTTATTTGCCTCTGGAAGAGTTGATTTGAACTGCTCATGAGCTGTTATCAGACCCTGAAGAAAGAGAGAGGGAGAGTTAGTGAAAGGGATCTGAAATTTTTATTCTGAAAAAAAGACTAACCAGAAATACCAGCAATGAAACAAAAAGAAATGTTAAAAAAAAAAGATCCAAAAATAAAAAATAAATAAATAAAAATACAGATAATATTTACTTTACATTAGACTTTATAATTAAACTTTATATTATTTATTTTACACAATATTTTAAAATTGAACATTTTATAATTAAACTTTATACTATTTACATTATACAACTTTTCAATATTAAACTTTTTTTCTATAAAACATCTGTGCACAACAATAAAAAAGGAATCAACAATAATAATAAAAAAATCAAAAATTGTTTTTTTTTAAAGATTTATTTATTATAAAGATTTTTATTGAAGCATTCAGTTAAAAATAATAAGTGTAAAGTCTTTCCAGAGAAAAAAAATGCCTCACTAAAAAAAAGGGCATTGCAAAAATATGTTTAAGTTAATTAAGATCATTGCAATATTGATATTTTGTCTATAGCATCTAGAGCAATTTCCCCTTTAAATGTGTCATGAGTTGCTTTGAAATTTGCTAATTTTATTCAGTACTTGACAAAGAAAGGGCGGGACAGAGTAGCTCCTCCCCTTTTTAAATATCAGCCAATTCAATTCAATTCAATTCAGCTTTATTTGTATAGCGCTTTTACAATGTAGATTGTGTCAAAGCAGCTTCAAATAAAGGGTCATAGTAACTGGAACAGTGTAGTTCAGTTTTTAGTGTTTAAGTTCAGTTCAGTTCAGTTTAGCTCAGTTCAGTGTGAATGGCATTTTGTTTTTGTCTGAGCTCAAACGCATCAAATAAGAAGCGTCTTGAAGGGGGCGGGGCATGTCTGACACTGTGGTAAAGTTATTGCCCTATGTGGTGTTCTACTACGCTGCTCAGGAGTAGATGAGGTTTGCAGCACAGAATGATGACACGTGTCGATCAAATAACATGAAATCCGACAAACCGTTCACACTGCGATCACATTGCAAAACATCAGACCTGTGTCTGATTTAGGACTACATATGGAAGTGGCACAGATCTGAAGTGAAAGGATCAGATTGCAGTCGGTTGGGGCCTGTTTAAACAGTCATTACCTGAGTCACATGTGGGCAAAACAATCAGATTCAGCAGTGTGAACGTAGCCTGAGTGCTGGGTTGCAATCACAATTATTTAACACAACTGTTAGTGGGCCATTTGTCCAAAATGTTTAATAACAATATATATATATACTTGCATGATTACTTCATTTCAATGTGAAAATGAGTTTTGGGAGGAACAAATTTGAACTTCTGCAAACACAATTATTTTATCTCAATGAATTTTTTTTTTTAAATCACTGGATGCAAAGTTGAAATCGAACTTTAATTTCGATTAATTGCACAGCCCTACTAAGCGCTGTTTTGAACACCATTTGAAATTGATTGTTAAATCAGATGATGAAGAAATCAAAACAGTTTGCTCTACCTGAATCTCATCGATGTTGTGCACAATGAACATGTCCTGCAGGTCCTCCATGGCGCCCTCCATCCAGTTGTTGAATGGTGCCGCTCTCTTGGCGTACTCCAGGTACAGCTCATCGATAGACTCCAGCTGCTTCTCTGTTCTCTGCGAGACCACACACACATTCACACACAGTCAGTTTGATAAACACTATGAATATGCCAGAAAGCTGTTGTTGACAGAAAGTGTGTGTACCTCCAGAGACTCTCTGCGGTTCTGTGTGAGGGAGCCCAGAGCATCCCACTGCTCGCAGATCTTCTGACAGCGTGCATTTACGCTCGGGGAGTCGTAGTAGTCCAGCTCACTAACATACAGGAACAAAATAGACTGAAAATCAGCACTAAAGCTAGCAATGTAATAATACGGAAATTTGGGCTGATATGCGAAGCAGAAAACCAGTATATAAGCTGATGAATATGAATTTTATATCAACCCCGACTAAAAAAAAAACTGATGTCCTTTTGTTTCTTTCACAGACAACACAACACAGGTGGAAATAATGCTTAATTTAATGTTCTTTAAACTTTTATTCTTGTTTTATAGTAAAGATAACATATTGATAATCATTCATCGGTCATTGCAAATGTCAATCGAGATGAATTAAGCATCATTAACTAAAACTTTCTTCAGTACCAACTTTAATACTTCAATCTTATTTTACCAATAACGTTATCATAAAACAATAAGCATTTATAAATTAGTAGGCCTACCGACTTTAATGTGTTGACCTCTTCTTCTACAGATTACCATAACAAAAATAAGCATTTATCAGCTAACACAAATACGTCAATCAATTCATCAGCCAACACAAATATGGCCAAATATATCCATATCGACTGATATTTTGAACTAATTTCCTTTTCATACAAATAACGATAATAAAATTAAGCATTTTAAGTCCAACACAAACATGGCATATATCAAGCATTAGTAATTAAAACGTTCTTATGTACCGACTTTAATATTTCAACCTAATTTTCTTATAATGCAAACGACAATAAAAAAATAAGCATTTATCAGCCAACACAAATATGGCCATCGATATATATCAAGCTACCATAACCAAAACTTTCTCAAGTATTGACTTTAATATTTCAACCTAATAGTCGTCTGAATACAAACGACAATAAAAAAAAAAAGGCATTTATCAGCCAACACAAATATGGCCACCGATAGATCAGGAATCCATTACAAAAACTCAGAAGTACCGACTGTTAGGCCTGTCACAATAATCAATATATCGACTTGTCGTGCAATACTTGATGAACTCAATCATTTTTGCCATTGCAATAGATACTCAAGCATCTACAAATAACATTAAAGCCATTTTACGATGACGTTTGATTACCTTACCGCTGTCAAAGTTTATAATTAGTTATTTACCAAATAGAACATTTAATATTTATATTATAGGACACTTACCTCTTTAACATCAAATTACAGAATCTAAATAACCTTAAGAATGATCAGTATTTTAAAATGTTTTGCATTATTATGCTGCTGTTATACGATCATAATATAATCAGTGGCATAAAATGATCTCAAAATGACAATAATATCGCTTATCGCAACAACTTCTGTTACAATTTAATCACACAACAAGAATTCCTTATCATGAAAGGCCGATCAACTGTAATATTTACGCCTAATTTTGTTAATGATAACATGAAAAAAAGCAAGCATATATCGGCCAACTTAAATATGGCCACCGATACATCAAGAATCCTCATAACTAAAGCACTGACTTTAATATTGCAACCTAATTTTCTCATCGTTGTGATAACCATAGCAAATGATAAGCATTTATTGGTATGACCAACACAAATATGGTCATCAATAAATCAGGCATCTCTATCTAAAGCATCGGTCTCAAACTCAAATCCTGGAGGTCCGCAGCTCTGCACGGTTTTGCTCCAACCCTAATCAAACACAGCTGATCCAACCAATGAAGGTGTTCAAGACTACTACAGACTATTAAGCAGGTGTGAGTCAGAGGCGGTTGGAGCTAAACTATGCAGAGCTGCGGCCCTCCAGGAATTGAGTTTGAGACCATTGATCTAAAGCTCTCTCAAATTTCAGCTGTAACATTTAAACCTAATTTTCTTATCAAACCAATAATGCTAACATCTTTAAGCAGTTATTAACGGATACCGATACGACCGCCGATATATCGGGCATCACATACCTACATTTTTAACTTTCCACCCATATTGTGTTGAATTCGATTAATTTTCGGTGTTATTATTGGTTGCCTCTTTTTTTATTTTATTTGTTTCTCACTTGAGCTCCTGTGCGATGGCGGCAATCTGCTCCACTCTGTCCTGGTGGGCGGCAAGGTCGCTCTCGAAGGCCTCGTGTTTCTTCAGGAGAGCTTTAATCTCAGACAGGGATGCGGTTTCATAGTCCTTTTGTGTGAGCATGGCCTCTTTACCTAAACACAAGCAGACAGACATATTAAGATCTAAACGGACAGCAGACTTTTTGTTTAGACATTGCAATTTTCTTTGTTGATTCATGATTTTTTTGGTAAGTAAGACTCGATGATACCAATTTTCGATTGTCTGCCAAACTATAATCGGCAGCAATTACCAATAAAAATATGTTTTTTTGACATATTTTATTATTAAAAATAGTGAATTAATTAAAATCCATTCGAAATATTTGTTTTTATCTTTTATAAAACATTTTAATATACGTTTCGATATCTCTGGAATTGACATATTGAAATTCCATGCTATTCCAGAAATTGCATGAGCCCTGGGAACCTGGAATTAATATATGCATCCATACCGTCTGTCCAGCCCTCATGGATGGCTGCTTTCTGACGGAACTTTTCTGCAAGATGGTCAAGTCTCTCCAAGCGACGGATCTCATTCAGGAGCCACTCTTCATAGCCTTTTTCTGCCCCTTCCAGTTTGTGCCACGCACCATTAATATCCTGAAGATGAAGAATACACTTATCAGGTACAGTTG